TTTTAGTAGAGACGGGGTTTCACCATGTTGACCAGGATGGTCTCGATCTCTTGACCTCGTGATCCACCCACCTCGGCCTCCCAAAGTGCTGGGATTACAGGCTTGAGCCACCGCGCCCGGCCTCTCTATAACTTGTTTTAAAATATTTAATTTTGAACAGTATATGTTACATAGCTAAATAAGCAAAAAGTACAAAATTGTGTATAGTGAAAAGTCTTGCTCCCTTCTGATCACATAGGAAACTATCATTTGCTATTTTCCGTACAGATAATTTTTTTTTAATTAAAGAAAATTTTTTTAGAAATGGGGTTTCACTATGTTGCCCAGGCTGGTCTCAAACGCCTAGCCTCAGGTAGCCTCCCATCTTGGGTTCCAAGGTGCTGGGATCACAGGCATAAGCCACTATGCCCAGCCCTTCCAGAGAATTTTTATGCTCATAAAAGCAATCACCAATAATTTTCTTTGCTGTACCTACAAGTTTTTAAATGTAAATGATAGCATACTGTAGTAACTTCTGCATCTTGCCCTTTTCACTTAATATATTTTGTAATTCATCCCAAATCATTACATAAAAAGCTGCTTCATTCTTTCCTACAGCTGTCATTTTATAATATTCCATTGTATGTATGTACCATCACTTATTTAGCCAGTCCCCTGTTGAATGGATATTGAGATTGTTTCCAGTCATTGCTATGAGTAACAGTACTTGTGTATAGATCATTTTGCCCTTTACCATAGGATACATTCCTAGAATTCTTAGATTAAAGGATATGTTCATTTGAATTTTGATAGCTAATTGCTATCAAATATTGCTAAATTGCTCTCCAGGAATTTATGTATATAAATACCCTTACCAGAGGCCAGGAGTGGTGGCTCACGCCTGTAATCCCAACACTTTGGGAGGCTGAGGCAGGTGGATCACCTGAGGTCAGGAGTTCAAAGACCAGCCTGGCCAACACAGTGAAACCCCATCTCTACTAAAAATACAAAAATTAGCCAGGCATGGTGCTGTGTGCTTGTGCGGAAGAAGTGCTTGAATTTGGGAGATGGAGATTACAGTGAGCCGAGATTGCGCCACTGCACTCCAGCTGGGGCAGCAGAGCAAGACTCTTTCTCAAAACAACAATAACAACAACAAAAAACCATGCCTATAATCCCAAGACGTTCGGAGCCTGAGGCAGGTGGATCACGAAGTCAGGAGTTTGAGACCAGTCTGGCTAATATGGTAAAACCCCGTCTCTACTAAAAATACAAAAATTAGCTAGGCACGATAGTCTGCACCTGTAGTGCCAACTTCTTGGGAGGCCGAGGCAGGAAAATGGCTTGAACCCGGGAGGTTGCAGTGAGCTGAGATGATGCCACTGCATTCCAGCCTGGGAGACAGAGCGAGACTCCATCTCAGGGTGCAAAAAAAAGAAAAGTAAAGATTACACTTCTCTTAGCATGAAAAGATGTTGTAAGAGTCATTGCATGGAATAAGCCTTAAGATTTAAAAAGAGTCATTGAATTTTTTCCCTGTTACCTTTCTCCTATTGTATTCCCATTTTCAGTAGATTGTTAGTCTCTTCCTACTGATTTATAGATGTTCTTTATTTATTGAGGAAATCAGTACTTTGTCTGTAATGGGAGTTGCAAATATCTTTTCCTAGTTTGTCTTTTCACATTTCTTATGGTGGCTTTTACTGTGCCAAAATAGATGACTTTTAGTAAGTCAAATTAATCAGTTATTTTATGACTTCTCTTAGGTCTTTGTGTGATACTTAGAAAGGGCTTTTCTACTCTGTGATTTTTTTTTTTTTTTTTTTTGAGGTGGATTCTTGCTCTGTTGCCTAGGCTGAAGTACAATGGTGTGATCTTGACTCACTGCAACCTCTGCCTCCTGGGTTCAAGCAATTCTCCTGCCTCCGCCTCCCCTGTAGCTGGGATTACAGGTGCATGCCACCACACCAGCTAATTTTTGTATTTTTAGTAGAGGGGTTTCACTGTGTTGGCCAGGCTGGTCTCAAACTCCTGAGCTCAGGCAGTCTGCTCGCCTCGGCCTCCCAAAGTGCTAGGATTGCAGGTGTGAGCCACCGGGCCCGGCCTGCTGTTCCAGCAAATTATAAAGCATTGCTCTTTTTTTTTTTTTGAGTCTACCACTGTAGTTTTTTTTTTTTGTAGCATTGCTTTTAATATGTATATATTACATACATGAGTGTACCCTCATTTACAGTACCCTACTGATAAATGTTCAAGTTTACATATAGGCTGGGCGAGGTGGCTTACACTTGTAATCCCAGCACTTTGGGAGGTTCAGGTGGGTGGATCACCTGAGTTCGGGAGTTCGAGACCAGCCTGGCCAACATGGCAAAACTGTTTCTACTAAAAATACAAAAATCAGCTGGGCCTGGTGGCAGGCGCCTGTAATTCCAGCTACTTGGGAGGTTGAGGCAGGAGAATCACTTGAACCCAGGAGGCGGAGGTTGCAGTGAGCCGAGATTGTATCATTGCACTCTAGGCAACAAGGGTGGAAGTCTGTCTCCAGAAAAAAAAACCCAAGTCGTTTACATTTATATATTTTTTCATTTTTGCTGTTATAAAAAATGCTAAACATTATTTTTTTATGTAGAGAAATTGATTAATAAAATTTATCCCTCTGTCTGTCCCTTCGTGATTTGCACTTTTGTAACAAGACCTGCTGATCAGAATTTGCATTCTTTTTTTTTTTTTTGAGGCAGCCTGTTGCCCAGGCTGGAGTGCAGCAGCTCCATCTCAGCCCACTGCAACCTCTGCCTACTGGGCTCAAGTGATCCTCCCGCCTCAGCCTCCCAAAGGCCTGAGATTACACACATGAGCCACCATGCCTGGCTTGATTTGCACTTTTGCTTCTAAATGTTGAAAGTTTTTTTCTACTTAGAGATCCAATATCCTTACTTTTCGTAGTGTACTTGTAGCTTCTTTATTCCTATTCAACTCTTTGATACAACTGGAATTTATTTTGGTATATGATTTGAGGAGAATGCCTAAATTGATCTACTTCTAGCCAGCCAATTTCCTCAACAATATTTGTTGAATGATCGATTTTTTTCATTTTTTTCCCCAAACAAAAAAGTTTAAGTGTTTAAGTTAGTCTGAAATTTTGTCTGAAGAAAAGAAACCAATTTTAGATGCTTTTCACTGGAAAATGACATAAGCAGGAGACACGCTGGAGTCGGTATCCCACTGCTGCCCAGCCCTGGCCACTGAGTATCCTCGGAACCAGAGACCAGAATCCCTGCCACACTACCGCCAAAGTATTAAAGGTCTTCATGATGTTTATTGTCAAAAGAGCCTGTACATCTGATGTTTCCAGTTCTCACTTCCACCTTCCCAGTGTAGAAATGAGGAGAAAGACTTTTTAGAAAGAAGCACCCCTGACTTTTGAGGTGGTTTTTGGATCATATATTAAGTTCTGATATATGTTAAGGTCTGTTTCCAGGCTATTTATTTTGTTCCATTGATTGGTCTGTGTCTCCTTTTTGTTTGTTTTTTAAGACAGGCTCTCTCTGTGTTGTCCAGGCTGGAGTATAGTGGCGCAATCTCCGCTCACTGCAACCTCTGTCTCCTGGGCTTGTGATCCTTCCACCTCAGCCTCCCAAGTAGTTGGGACTACAGGCATGTGCCACCATACCTAGCTAATTTTTTGGATTTTTAGTAGAGTGGGGTTTTGCTATGTTGCCCAGGCTGGTCTCAAACTCTGGGCTCAAGCATCCAACCACCTCGGCCTCCCAAAGTGCTGAGTTTGCAGGCATGAGCCACCGTGCCTGGCCTGGTCTGTCTCCTGATACTTGTGCTAGCTCTATATATTTTTAATTATTCAGATGTTAGTTTTAATCCCTACCTACTAGTCTCAGAAAAGATGATCAAAAAACAACAGTTGGTTTGTTATGATAGAAACATTTTGCATGTTTAGGCCTATTCCAGTGTCAGCCTGTTTTGTCTAAGTCTGGACATTTCTTTGACTCCACAGCTCTTTCCTGACCTGTGTGGCGTGGAAAAGTAGATGTTTCCTTATTTGATTTTGCTTGCAGTAGGAACTAAAGACATGCATCTCCGGCTTTTAACAAATAACTCTTTACTAGTTTTAAGAATTATTTTTTAGGAAGCAGAATGGTAGAGAGAAAGGAGTAGAAAATGTATTATTTTCAGCTGGGTGCAGCGACTCATGCCTGTGATCCCAACACAAGTGACCCAAGGTGGGTCGATCACTTGAGGCTAGGAGTTTGAGACCAGCATGGCCAACAGTAAAACCCCTGTCCCTACTAATAATAAAAAAATTAGCCAGGTGTGGTGGTGGGTCCTGTAGTTTTAGCTGTCTGGGAGGCTAAGGCCCGAGAACTGCTTGAACCTGGAAGGCGGAGGTTGTAGTGAGCTGAGCTCATGCCACTGTACTCCAGCCTGGGCGACAGAGTTACTGGCTCAAAAAAAAAAAAAAAAAAGGAAAAGGAAAACATATTATTTTCACTGTATACCTTATATATCTTATGCATATGTTACCTGTTCAAAAGAATGATTAAAATCACATTCTTTAAAAGGGTTAACATACGTCCTGTGTATGTATTCCTTTGTGTGTGTGAGACAGGCTCTCACTCTGTTGCCCAGGCAGGAGTGCAGTGGCACCGTCATGGCTCACTGTAGCTTTGACCTCCTACGCTCAAGTGATTCTCCCACCTCAACCTCCTGAGGAGCTGGGACGAAGGCATGTGCCACGACTCTGGGCTGATTTTTAAAATTGTTGTAGAGATGGGCCAGTCTACCTGGACTCAAGCAGTCCTCCTGTTTCAGCCTCCCAACGTGCTGGGCTTACAGGTGTGAGCCACCACACCTGGCCTCTGTATGTATTGCTTTGATTGCTGCTGAGAACCTTTGATGAGGCAAGGGAAGGTTATGCCCTTTTTCCTCTCTTTAAATGCTAACCCTAGAACTAGATTTGGTTCAGAATGGTAGCGATTTGCTCATTTTGTGCATTCCCTCACCAGGTGTGCTGCCACCAGACTGATTACTGGCAGTTTGTGAAAGACATCCGGTGGCTCAGTCCCCACTCAGCCCTTCATGTGGAGAAGGTAAGAGTGAGAGAAGAGCTGGGTGCTGGTAGAGCAGTGGATCTTCATTGTTTGATGCTCTGTCAGAAGAATCTTCTAGGCTCCAAGGATGGAATGTGTCAAATTTCTCATCAACTGAGGAAAGGAAATTAATTATCCCTTTGGGGACCAACTTGATTTTCTTAAAAAACAAAAACAAAGCATGCAAACCCATTGGTCCAGGTCACTTTTAAAGTTTTGTTATTTTCAAAAAAATCTGCTTATATGGGACCCAGGGTGAAGCTTTTCAAAGCATTTCCCTTACCTGTCTCAGTTTAGTTCTCAGGTCGTTAGGCCTCAGTCTTGCTGTGTCTGCCAGGATGTATGTCTGACTCATACCCCTTTGCTTCCCAGTTCATCAGCTTGCATGAGAACAGCCAGAGCAGTGCTGCGGGTGTGAGTGAACACGCTGTTGCAGAGCTGTGGCTGCAGCACAGCTTGCAGTTCCACTGCCTGTCAGCCCAGCTCCGGCCCCTGCTCGGGGACAGGCAGTATATCAGAAAGTTCTACACAGGTAGGTGGAGGCCACTGAGGGCTCCTGCCTGTGCTTCCTCATTGTCACCACTTCACTACTCCTCTGTCCCTCTGGTACCAGGCCTTCTGCTTTTCACTTGATGCCACAGGGATTCTACGCAGAAACACATATCCAGTCTGCCCTCTCACTTCCCAAGGGACACACAGTCCAGCTTTATGTTAGGGTCACCCCCAGCGGCCGCACGTGCACAAACCATCATTGACCAGGAGTTTCCTGCCTGCCGGTCACTGCTGTACGGCATCTCCACAGTGGCTCTGAGAGTTGGCTATGGGTACTCCTGTTTTCCAGTCAACAAGGCAAGGAGGTTAGGTGACCTGGCCAAAGTCACTCAGAGCCAGGATTCACATCTGCATTTTTCTGACTTTGAAGCCTCTCGTCTTGGCCACTTTGCTGTACTGCACGTTCTTTAGCCTCTTCTCTTTGTTTCTGATTTCCCTTCACCCTACAGTGGCATGACTCTTCCTCATTCATCTTACCCCTCCCTTTCTCTTTCCTTGAGTTTCTCCCAAGGCCTCCCTATTGGGCTTTATCACTGTGGTAGCTTTTCTCTCCCCAGATACGGCTTTCCTGCTAAGTGATGCTCATGTCACGGCCATGCTCCAGTGCCTGGAAGCAGTGGAACAGAACAACCCTCGCCTCCTGGCTCAGATCGATGTGTCCATGGTAAAGAGGACGAGGAGTTATCCATGTCTTTGCTGGGTCCCTGCATCTCAGCATGATATAACCGTCTACAGCAAACTGTTTTTTCACATAGGCATTTTTGTGAGCTGAAAGGCTTTCATTTTTAAAAATGCTTGGAGAAGAAGTACTGTTAAGGACTTACTGAAGTGGAAAGTCTGAGCTTAGGTCTCGTGCTATTAGACCTAAGCCGGGGAGTGGGGAGGTATATTTTGTTAAATGCTTGGTATCCTTTGAGGAAGCACCTCCTTAAGCCTTGAAAAGATCTGGGGAAAAGAGGGATGGTTCTGAATCAGGGGTAAGGTTTACTGTCGGACCTTCAGACCTGGCGTAGCTTAATGTTACAAGAGGTCATTTTTTCATGTTTTTTTCCTTCGATGTAAACAAAATTTTATACTACAAAGAAAATTTGTTGTCTAAAATTGACTTACCCGTCGCCAGTACTCCACTTAGTGCCTTAACTGGAGTGGAATCAGCGTCCCCACTTCTTATAGAAGAGGGTCCCCTATCTGTCCAGATTCTTTTAATTTAATTAATAATTAATTTCTGAGACAGTCTCGCTTTGTCGCCCAGGCTGCAGTACAGTGGCATGATCTCAGCTTCCCAAGTAGCTGGGATTGTAGGTGTGTGCCACCACACCCAGCTAACTTTCGTATTTTTAGTAGAGACAGGGTTTCACTATGTTGGCCAGGTTGGTCTTAAACTGACCTCAAGTGATCTGCCCACCTAGGCCTCCCAAAGTGCTGGGATTACAGGCGTGAGCCACTGCGCCTGGCCCCATTGCATACTTTCCATGTGCCAGCCATGGTGCTATGTATAACACATGGATCATCTCTTTGAATCTTCATAACTCTTTTAAGTGGGCATTGATCTCATTTTATAAAGGAGGTTGATGAGCACAGAGTAGCTAAGTCGTCCAAAGTTTGAACCAAATAGCTCGTAAATCCCAAGGCCTGGATTTGAACCCTAGTCTGTCTGACCTCTGATTCCACATGCGTGTTTTTTTGTTTTGCTGCCTTTGTAATAGAGTACTCCTGATTTATCAGCTAGAAGGATTCCAGTGCAGGAGTTGTGGTTTCAAAGTTGTGAATTACATACTGTAGTAGAAGGTAGTCTTGCTGTGTCTACAGGCTGTGGTTAAACTCCGGGCTTACTGCCAAAGGTAGCTTCTACCAGCATTTCTGCAGAACTGAGTGGCCCCAGGCCTGCCGTCCTTAACTCTGACACATTTGTTGGGTTTGCTTTGCTTTTTAGTTTGCCAGAAAGCATGAGAGCCCGCTCCTGGTGACGAAAAGCCAGAGCCTGACAGCCCTGCCCAGTCCCACACACACCCCTCCGACCAGCCACGCCCAGCACTCCTGCGCTGGGTCCTTCTCCAGCCTCCACCAGTCCATGCCCAGCAATGGCTCAGGTATGAGGGCAGGAAAAGGTAGTCATTACATTTACACCAGCCGTGGAAAGTAAGAAGACTTTGTGGGTACTCATAGGCTTGGAATTGAGCCTTGGGTTGGTACAGTTTGTCTTAATAAAGGACATCTTTAAAAGTTACATAGTGACTAGCCTAAAATAATTCAGTAGAATTATTAAGTCACAGAAGAGGGAGATGTTTTTAGATTCCCCTGGGTTTCTAATCCACATTGCCAGGAAGGCATTTAAATACTAGGTAACTGACTGATTGCCAATCATAGACTAAGCTCTGCTGTATTCAGTTTGTATGCGTTATCCCATTTGAGTCTTCAAATAGTCCTCTGAGGTAGGTAATATTATTGCTCATTTTTCAGATGAGGAGTGCATACTAATAAGCAATAAAGCCACTGTCTCAAGAGCCCATACTCTTGACTTAGCTGCTTCTAAATAGGTTTATACTTTGTTTGGCTTGCCTTTTCTGAGGTGACATCATGTATCCTGGGCACCCAGTAACAATAGAAAGTTTGAACTTAGCTGTGAGGAAGTCCTTCATACATACTGCAGGATGCTACCTCACCTTGCTCCCCTTACCATTTCCTTTTATATTCTAGAAAGAAGATCTACTTCCTTTTCACTCTCTGGCCCTCCGCGGAAACCTCAAGAAAGCAGAGGGCACATCTCACCAGCAGAGGATCAAACCATCCAAGCCCCCCTGGTTTCCGCCTCTGCACTAGCCAGGGATTCCCCCTTGACCCCAAATGACATGAGCTCCAGTACTCTGACCAACCCCACGGAGGCATCCTGGGTCAGCAGCCAGAATGATTTTCCCAGTGATGCCAGTGAGGGCCCTGAGTACCTGGCCATTGGCAACTTGGACCCCCGAGGCCGGACAGCCAGCTGTCAGAGTCACAGCAGCAATGCTGAGAGCAGCAGCTCCAATTTGTTCTCCTCCAGCAGCTCCCAGAAGCCAGATTCTGCTGCGTCTTCCTTAGGGGACCAGGAAGGAGGTGGGGAGAGCCAGCTGTCCAGTATCCTCCGCAGGTCCAGCTTCTCAGAGGGGCAGACACTCGCCGTCACCAGTGGGGCGAAGAAGAGCCATATTCGCTCCCATTCGGATACCAGCATCGCCTCCAGAGGAGCTCCAGGTAATGAGGAGCCCCAGCTGCTAGCTAGCAACATGGCCTCCCGCGTTGAGTGGAAGGGAGGGTTTGTTATTGGGACTTTTCAGATGGCAGAAAGAGATGTTCTGTTTCTGACGCCATGACATCTATAATGAAAAGGAGAAGTTTGTAACGAAGTCCAATACTCAAAATCTCTAAGTATGTTTATGTTTGTTTCTTTACACATTGCTAAATATTAAATGTTTTCCTGGATTCTTGACTAGTAACATCAGAGGATAGTGTGACTCATCACAGTTGGCATTTTAAAAGTATCTCTTGGATCAGGGCAAAGTATGAATGAGCTTTAAAAATAATCCCATTAAATTCTGTCTTTTCCTGTGACATCTTAGGAGTTTGGCCAGGGTGTAATAATACCAATGCGAGAGAGGTAGAATGATATTGGGGTTTTCTCATGAAAACGAAGGATATAGGGAGTGAAGGGGTGACACGACCTAGCAGCTAAGTAGGCGGGGCTGATGGCTGCGTCGCTGACTCAGGCTGCGAGGCAGTCAGATGAGGAGGCCCTGGCCGCCGGGACCTCCCTCACCAGACACCAGCTGATGGCAGGGCACCCTACATGTGGGGAGCGTGGGTCTCCTTGCTTTCGCCATACCCCTGCCTCCATCTTCCCTGGGTTGTGGTATCTGGCAGGCTTTGGTTGGGTTTTGTTTGTGGCAGGATCTCCAGAAGAGCAAGTATAGCATGGAGCTGTGTGCTCAAAGCCATTCTGGGTCAGGAAAACCCCAGAAATAAAGTATAAAAATAAAATACAAAAAAATTTAATGACCTAAAAAAAAGGGTTTTCTTTAGCAACTGGAGATACCATTGCTTTCTCTTTGTAATTTCTATAAAGGTGAGTGCTGAGGCCCTCCTCTGAAACCTTCAGAATTACAAACTTTTGTCTTTGCTTTCACTCAAGAATATGATTTGACTTGTTGGAAATCTTTAGGAGAAGAATCTCCAAATCGAAGCCTGTCTTCCCATGAGCTTTCTTAGATGTGAAGATTACTTGGGTTAGACCCTCACTTCGCATCTCCTGCTGCAGGCCTGACGTCCACTGCACTCCAAGCCACTGGCCTTTGAGCATGTAAAACTTCCCTGCCCCCATTCTTGAATCCATGTGGATTCCAGAAACCACGGTAACTGCATTGGAAAAGGGAGCCAGGGAAAATGTGTGCAGAAGGGTCATGCATAGCTTCTTGTATGAGTCATTCTTCCTTCACAACTGGGGTTCCCTCTTGGGAGTTACATCCCCACTGCTGCTAGGCAAAATTTGGGACACTTTTTTCTCTCTCTGTATCCTCATTTGCTCTGTCTGGACTCTCCTCTGCACCTGTCTGTCTACCTACAGGAGGCCCCAGGAATATCACCATTATAGTTGAAGATCCCATTGCAGGTTTGGGAATCGGTCCTCGACCTCCTCTTTGTTCTGCTCTGTGACCACCTTTCTTAGTTCAAAATGTTAAATCAGTCTGGTGTCAAATCAAGTCTGGCTGGTCTGGTCTTGTTGTGATGCTTGGAACTGTCTTTAAAATGGTACCAGTATTTCATATGATGTGTTTTCTGTACACAATTCCAAATACCTCATTCAGTCTTCCAACAGCTTCTGGGAGGCAGAGTCAAGACTTATCAATTCAGTTTTTCCAGAGGTGAAACTGAGGCCTGCTATTTGTCTGGGGCATCATGATGAATCAGTGGCAGAATGTTTTTTTCTTTTTTAAACATTTTTTACTTTTTAAAAAAATTTTTGTAGAGGCAGGGTTTCACCATGTTGCCCAGGTTGGTCTTAAATTCCTGGCTTCAAGTGATCCTCCTGCCTTGGCCTCCCAAAGTGCTGGGATTGCAGGCATGATCCACCACACCTGGCCCAGAATTTTTATTATAACTGAATACTTCCTATGGCTGACTTTATTTTCCTTGAATTAACACCAGAATGTATTTTATCCCCTTTCTGTGGTCTTAGATATAATTGCATGTTTGTTTTTTTGTTTTTTTTTCCTCTCCTGGAGTTCCCTGTTTTTTCCTTTTTCTTTCACCTGTTTTCATTTTCCTATAAATCCCTGCACCCCATTCCAGGTATTGCATAAGATTTTTCTAGTGATTGGAATCTGTTTCACTGGTTTTCATGATGGTGTTCAAACTGAGATTTGTGCTCCATCCTGGGTACCGTAATTCATGGAGATTAACACTGGAATGTGACTGCCAGGCAGAGTAGTGAGAGGGGACTGAGAGCTCTGGCTTCCTGGAAATGGGTGGGGCCACTGAGTATGTTAGCTTGGAGAAGAGATGGTTAAAAAGGAATAAAGTCTGCAGGGCCATCATTAATAGCATTGTTATTAAGGAGATAAGAAATTGTAAGAAAGCAGATATCAAGTGAGTGTAAGGAAATTCTAACAATTAGTTAAATGGCAACGTTTGGGGGTAGTGAACTCAGTAAGTAAAGGCTGAATGGCCACATGGTGTAAAGAGGTAAGGTCATAGTGGAGTTTGTGTTGTGTGCTGTTTGGGAATCTCAAAGGGCCCTTCCAAGTCATGGATTTTTACCAAGGCGTCATGGTGACGACTAGTTTGTCCTCAGTTCAGTAGGGAGGAACAGAGGCCATGGCCAGGGATACCAGACGTCTTTGAGCCCAAGAAGAACACAAAATTGTCTCTTTCACAGAGCAGCATTTCTTGTGAGAGAAGCAGCCGGCAAGTTGGCACCATCTGTCAGGGAAATGGGTTAGACGCAGCGCAATCGTTCATTCTCCCACCGCCTCCTGCCCATTTTCCAAGCAAGCACCCACCTGGCCTTTCCGCCTGTTCTTCCTCTGTGGTCCTGGAAATGTTGTTTCCTTGTGAAGAGTGTCGGTTTCTCACTCCTGCGAGCCCTGCCTGCTGCTGTTCTCCCCTCCCAGCTCTCACTCCTCTTGTTCTCAGGCGTTTTCTGTTTTGCCAGCCTTCCCTCCCTTACTGCTTCAATAAGGATGGGCCAAGCCCTGTAACTGAGCCCTTTGGTTACGAGGCCCTCTTCCTTGGCTTCTCCAGCACTGCCTTGATGCTTCTTTTTAGGACATTGCTGAATTTTATCTTATTTCCTTAGTGAATGTAAACCTTCTGATGTTACTTTAAAACCTAATGTCAAGATGTCAGAAAAGTTTCAATGCACTTGTCTTTGTTTACCATCTAAACAATTTTCTAAATTGGTTTGTCAAGAGGATAAAAATTGGCTGATATTCCTGTAAGGTTTGGCTAAAGGTGTAAGGAAAGAGAAGCACTTTTCATGAATCCATTTTGATTTGATTCTTTCTCACCGTTTTGTTGCCCCGTTCTGGATCACGTTTCTTCTTTTCCACTTGGAATGCACTGACTTCCCATCTCCTTCCCCCCATGTGTTTCTGTATCCTTAGGCTGTTCCCTGTTGGTGTGCCACCTCTCTCCTGCTTGGGAGGGCTTTGGGAAGGGGAGCAGTGACATGCTGAAACTCCAAAGTTGGGAATGTATCTATTGCTCACTTCGTATGTGTGTCTTTACTTCCTGGTGGTCACTGTCGTTAGAATCCTGCAATGAGAAGTCGAAGCCGAGAGGCTCCTTGCCCTACTCTGGTCAAAGCAGTGAAGTCGGCACACCCGGCTCTCTGTACGTGGAGTATGGTGAGTACTAGGAGGGCCAGGGCTAAAACGGTATCTTTTCTTTGCTCACCCCTTGTGCCTGCTAAGCTCTGGGCTTTGGGGTTTATCTCAGCTCTGCAGAGGGTACACACAGTTACAGTCTCAGCCGCCCTTTTGCCATTTTCAACCCGTGCGAGAAATCGCACTGCTCTGCCATTTCTCTTGGGCCTCTCTGACGTAGGGGTTCCACCCTCTCTACACTCTGGTGTTAGCATCAGGTGTGTCAGTCGGTCCAGATGACATGGCTCTCTGAGTGGATGAGATGGACCTTGAAAAGAGACCTTGGAGTATCTGGGCTTCATAACCAGAAGACGGACTCTCCGTAGAAATCACGGACAGGAGGAAGCCATTGGTGTCCTTTTCTGACTCCCAGCCCAGTGTTTTAAATTATTTCTCTTTCGTACGGTATGAGGGAGAGCACGTTCTCTTTAACTTTAGATGGTAAAAGGATTCTCTTGGCTTCTCTCTGTTTGTTCTACCATTTCCAACCAAGAGGCTTAGTGCTCTGGGATTCTACAAGTCCGAGAAGTTATTTTTTTTTATTTTTTTTTTTTTTATTTTTTTTTTTGAGACAGTTCTTGTTGCCCAGTCTGGGGTGCAGTGGCACCGTCTCGGCTCACTGCAACCTCCACCTCTTGAGTTCAGGCAGTTCTCCTGTCTCAGCCTCCCAAGTAGCTGGGATTACAGGTGCCGGTCATGATGCCGGCTGTTTTTTATATTTTCAGTAGAGATGGATTTTCACCATGTTGGCCACGCTGGTTTCGAACTCTTGACCTCAGGTGATTCTTTTGCCTCGGCCTCCCAAAGTGCAAGAAATTCTTTTAGAAGGTAGACATCTTTTTCCAACCTTTAATTCCCAGTTACCTGGGAAGACTTGGAAGCATCTTTAATGCTAAAAGCTTACGACTTCTTGAAGAAGCTTGGCTGTTTCAAGCCTAAGCTTTTTACCTCCACGCCGCATTTCCTCACAGAAGGCAGTCGGTACCTGTGCTCAGAAGGCATGTTCCGACGACCATCGGAAGGACAGTCCCTCATCAGCTACCTCTCTGAACAAGACTTTGGCAGCTGTGCAGACCTGGAGAAGGTGGGAAACCTGGGGGACGAATGAAGAGCTCATGGTTGGGAGGCTGGGCCTGAAGGTCTGTGGTGCCATTTGTTCTCACAAGGTTTTGGGTACATAGCAGTGACATGGGTAAAGATCAGTTCATAGTAAAGGTAAGTTCAGCAAGTTCTGTTTCTGGGGAACTCTGCAGGGAGCCTGTGCTCCTCATTGAGTCCAAAGTATTAGCGATTTTATCTTAGAAGCCAACCTGGCAGAGAAGCATTGAGTTTGTGTGTATATGTTTGTTTTTTTGAGACAGAGTCTGGCTCTGTCACTTAAGCTGGAGTGCAGTGGCACAGTCATGGCTCACTACAGCCTCCAGTTCCTGGGCTCGAGCAATCCTCCCTCCTCAGCCTCCCGAGTAGCTGGGACTACAGGCATGCACCACCACGTCTGGCTGTTTTTATTATGTTTGTAGATATGGGGGGTCTCCCTGTGTCACCCAGCCTGGTCTTGAACGCCTGGGTTTGGCCTCCAAAGTGCTGGGATCTACAGGTGCGAGCCGCTGTGCCTGGCAGCCTCGTTTTCCCGCGTGGTTGCCGTTCCCTCGACCCTGGCACCTTAGATTAATACTATTTCCAGAATCAAATCTGTCTTTTGTTCTGTCTTTTTTTAGAGATGTAGTTTCACTCTTTCACTCTTTTGCCCAGGCTGGAGTGCAGTGGTGCGATCTCAGCTCACCGCAGCCTCTGCCTCCCAGGTTCAAACAGTTCTCCTGCCTCAGCCTCTCAAGTAGCTGGGATTACAGGCATGCACCCCCAGGCACAGCTACTGTTGCATTTCTAGTAGAGATGGGATTTCTCCATGCTGGTCAGGCTGGTCTCGAACTCCTGACCTCAGATGATCTGCCTGCCTCGGCCTCCCAAAGTGTTGAGATTACAGGCGTGAGCCGCCGTGCCCTGCGCTATCTTTTGTTACAAGGCTCAGATAAGCAATAAATCACATCTGTGTAGCATTTTATAGCCTACAAAGCACTTTCATGTTGAGACATAGCGTTTACCTTAATATTTTGTGTACAGGTATATGATTTTGGGAAAGAACCTGATTGAAATCCTGGATCTCTTCTCTATTATATTTTTATGTAGAAATGAGACAGGAAGGGACAGACTTGGCAAAGTAAGAGAGTGAAGAAAACCTAGAATAGGTTTTCTGGCCATTAGCCTTCCTCATAGTAGAAATGTCCATTTCCCCAGGGCGTTTTTGATAGAAACAGTTCCTATCTTGGAAACTCCCTTTCCAACATCATAGTCAATGTGTCATTCGATACTTGTAACCCTTAGCCTGTTTGGTGCTCTCCTTCTCCCAGGAGAACGCCCACTTTAGCATCTCAGAGTCCTTAATTGCTGCCATCGAGCTGATGAAGTGCAACATGATGAGCCAGTGCCTAGAAGAGGAGGAAGTGGAAGAGGAGGACAGTGACAGAGAGATCCAGGAACTGAAGCAGAAGATCCGCCTTCGGCGCCAGCAAATCCGCACCAAGAATCTGCTCCCGGTGTACCAGGAGACTGAGCACGGAAGTGAGTGGAGCCTGTGAACACTTCTGTTCCCACATTTTCATGGCTTCAGCATAAGGCTCAGTACCTTATGGGTCTTCCTTTGGAATGTTATGCCCAAACCAGTGATTCCTCTGCTGTCAGAAAGATATTTCGATGCTGTCCTACTTTTTTCCTACCATTCTAGGAGTACTCATCCTAGAGTCTGTCTGTTTCCTACATCAGAAATAGCTTCCTTCCAGGCCAGGTGCAGTGGCTCATGCCTGTAATCCCAGCACTTTGGGAGGCCGAGGCAGGTGGATCACCTGAGGCCAGGAGTTTGAGAGCAGCCTGACCAACATGGCGAAACCCTGTCTCTTAAAAAAAAAAAAAAAAGCTTTCTGATGTGAGAACTAAGAACACTAGTCCCAGATTTGCTTCCCAGGTAGCAGTACTTTCTATTTACTTGAAACTTTTTTTTTTTTTTTAAGACAGAATCTTGCTCTGTTGCCAGGCTGGAGTGCAGTGGTGCGATCTCAGCTCACTGCAACCTCCGCTTCCTGGGTTCAAGCGATTCTCCTGCCTCAGCCTCCTGAGTAGCTGGGACTACAGGCACATGGCACCACTCCCAGTTAATTTTTGTATATTTAGTAGAGGTGGAGTCTTACCATGTTGGCCAGGATGGTCTCGATCTCTTGACCTCGTGATCCGCCTGCCTGGGCTTCCAAAGTGCTGGGATCACAGGCGTGAGCCACTGCGCCCGGCCTGCCTGAAACTTTCTAAAGGGAAAGTTTCAGTTTCTTTCTGTTGAAGTCATACGAGATCCCTTTTATTGTGACACTGCAAGAACAAGAAGACCCGTTTCTGCCCTGTTTATTCCTTTTTTTTTTTTTTTAAACATAACAGGCTTTCGGGTGACCTCCAGCAGCTCCCAGCTCAGTTCACGTGATTCGGCACAGCTCTCTGACTCTGGCTCTGCTGAGGAGGTTGATGAATTTGAAATCCAAGGTAAGAAGTGACACTTTGTTACAAGGGAACTTCCATTCCCTGTTTCTTTCCATTTAGAATCATAAGCTGAGAAGTTTTTCCCAAGTAGAAGATCTTCGTTGCGGATTGTTGTTAGCCTGTTGCTGCAAACAAACCCCTTTAAAATGTAAGTAGGAGAGAACACTGAAAGCAGGTGTCAGGCGGAGTGGCTGGTTGCTGGTGTCACCCCGATGCTTCCTCCTCAGCGGTATCTTTCTCTCGTTCCCACTCTGATTCCTCCTTTCAGCTTGTAGGGCTGGTCCACACTGCTCGAAATTAGAATCCTGTTATCTCCTGTTCCATAGCACAGCTGAAATTGTTTCAAAGTGTTCAAAAGAGAAAAAGAAAAAAAGACGCATTGGGGGCGGGGGACAAAAAAAGGAAAAAAAATTAGGTTTACGAAGTAGAGCTTTAATCTCTGTCCAGCCAGTGCTAACTTGCTTAGCACAGTCACAGGTACTTTTTTTTTTTAATTGTTACTGTGGTTGTGGTTGTTGTTCTTGGAAGTATCAGCACAGAGGAACAGTAGGGTTCCAGTCTGAGAAGGCAGTTGTGTTAAATCAGGTTAATGTCCCCTTCCTGCAAATCATAGATTTCTTCAAGTTCCCATCAGCAAAATAAACAGACAAACAAAAAAACCGGTTCAGGGACATAAGCTCTTCCTTCATGGGTGAAACCAAGACTAGTCTCCTTACTGAGATGAATGGTATCTGTAATTCTCTGTTACAACATTGTGTCTGTAGACAGAGGTGAATTTTGTCTGTAATTTTCCATTATAACATTACCATGTGATGACGAGTCGATCTTGTATTGCACAAGGCTCTGATGTCCTCTTTATACAATTTAGAGAGCCCATTCACCTGCACAGACCTCCAGATGTAGGAACCACGTTTCCTCTCCATTCAGAAATTCAGTGTTTTTCACGTATTTTCCAGGTATTCAGGAAATCTTCCTTCTATGTTCTCCTTAATGTCTCTGATTTCTATTTATGACAATAGGTAGTCATTTAAAACTCCTTTTGTTTGTTTGTTTAATTGTTTGTTTGTAGGTGATTTTCCAGCTCCTCTCCAATTCTCCACCATCAATTGGGTGACTTACAGTTTAGCTCTGACCCTAACTACCTGGAGTTAGTTACAGTCCTGTGAGATTACGTTCGCTTCCGATGCTAGACACAGGTGTCCAGGCCACCTGCACTTCTGCTCGTAGGCTGACTACAAATTCAGAGATCCCCATGACTGCCTTCTTGCTTGAATGATGCCCAGAACTTAGGAAAGCTCTATACTTAGGATTGTAGCCTATTGAAAAGGCTGCAAATAAACAGCTACCTGAAGAAGTACATAGGGAGTAGTGAAGCGATGGTGAGCGCAGGAACTCCTCCTGGCTCCGTGTGTCTGGGTGCACCACCCTCCCCGGTTCATTGATGTGTTCACCAGCCAGGAAGCCCCTCTTGACATCACTGCTCCAAGTTTTTTCATGATATAGACACCATTGACTGTCATCACCATTGGTAATTGAACTCAGCCTTAAGCCCCTCTCCCCTCCCTGGAGGTGTGGGGAGTAAGACTTCCAACCCCCCAGTGACCTGTTTGGTTCTTTTGATAGCCCCCAGTTGTGAAGCTGTCTGTCTGGGGCCTGCCTGGAGTCCCCTCATTAGCATAAACTCAGGTACGATTGAAAGGGGCTGCTTTTGAATAATAAAAGACATTGCTATGATTCAAGAAATTCCAAGAATTTTAGGAAGCCTTACCAGGAACTGCAGACAAAGACCAAGCATGTATTTTCTGTTATACCACAGTCTGTGATTGACTTCATCTCCTAATTAAAAGGAAGTAAGAGGGTTCTGACCTAGCTCTCAGGATCAGCAGTCAGAATGTCAGGAGGAGAATGGTGAGGTCAGCTCAGAACAGGCTGCTTACCTGGGTGTAGAACAGTCCACTTGACGACTGCATCTGTTCCCTGCAGCAAAGCAGGGAGCGGAGGAAGCTCTGGTCTGTCAGGAGCCTGCCAGCAGAGGCCCAAAGGACACTCCTGTTAGAAACTGCTGCTGCAGCTGTGGGCCCTGAGGAGATGCTTAATCAACTAATTCTCTGTCAGTTCAGAACAGAAGTCCTTAAAGGAAAAGACCTTAGGGCAGGGTTTTCCAACCCATGGGCCAGATCATTCTTCATTACGAGGGATGGGGCTGTGGACTGTAAGGTGCTCAGCATCATTCCTAGCCTCTACCGTCTAGATGCCGGTATCGAGACAATCAGAAATGCCTCCCTCATCGCCAGCGTTACCCGTGGCTGAGAACCACTGCCGTAGGAGGTCCCTGAGGCTGGGCTTGGCATAGGAAGTAGCAATAACCCTCTTCCAAACTAGAGTGAGCACCTACCTATGGATTCAGTTCCTAAACTCCATTTCATGTTTGGGAGCAAGTGTCAAGTTTTGATTGCAGGAACATATGGTATAGAACTGTTGTTAGTTTATTTCCTGCTGGAATACTGAAGGGCCCTTTTATGATCATTATCACACAGATGGTAGCGAAGGATCTAACCTGACTCACATGTCAGAGAACGGACTGTCAGTGTCAATGGCCTCCATGTTCTCAGGTAGCCTGTCCTGGAAGTGTGGACGTGCTCATAGATGCATGTGTGTGAATGTTGCACCCGCTTTCGTGTACACCTAATCATATGATAACTGCCAAGGTTACGAGAACTGCAGGGGCTGGAGAACTCGGAAGAAACTGGAGTTAAGCCGGGACAACAAGCCAGGAACAATTCAGATACTCACAGATTCTTCCTCATGGGACCCAGCAGTCTTCCTCCTCGAGTTTGTCCTTGCTGGTCCCTCCCTACGCTGATAAATTTATATTTAGTGGTCACTGTGACTGGTGGAGGTACTGGACGGTTTAGAAGCGTTAGATGAAGAGTTTTAGTTCAGACTTCTACCTAAGCTCCTGCCACACATCAGGCAGCAAAAGCAGGAGGGAGTGGTATGAAGCTTAGTGTCTCTAGAATTTTGAATTTGCAGAGCCAACTTCTAGAAAGCCATCTCTTCTAGGTACTTTGTGTGCAAGTAGGATTTACTGGGGTGAATATTTGTTCTTGCTTTATGATCCAAACAAGTAGGTTTTCTGTAGGTGAGGTTCACTGAAAGAAAGTAGCAGTTTTCTGCTCAGAATGGCTTTAAAACACAGAAACAACAACAAAACTCAGAACTTTTTATTAAAACTGTTAATATTGTCAGGATAGAATTTGAAATAATTATGTAAGCTTAGATCAAGATTTAAAGAAATTAAGACAAATATTACATGAGTTCCCAGGTTCTCACTTGTATGTGGGAGCTAAAAAGTTGATCTGATGGAGTTGGAGAAGAGAGTCATAGGTACAGAGGCTGCAGAGGATGTGGGTTGAGGCCTAAAGAGAGGCTGGTTAATTGGAACAGCCATACAGTTAGAGGGAGTAAGTTCTAGTGTTCAGTAGCACAGTGGCGTGGCTGTAGTTCACATACCGTGTGTTTCAAAATGGCTGGAAGAGATTTGAAGTGTTCCCAACACAAAGAAATGATAAATGTTCAATCAGTGGATATTCTAAATACCCTGATTTGACCATTACACATTGTATGCATGCATCTAAATATCACATGTTCCTTGTAAATATGCATAAATATTATGGTACCAACTTAATTTTTTTAAGATTAGAGAAATAAAAGTCATTAGTTTCCTTTTTTTCTCCTCCTGAACGATTGTCATTTATTCTAATGCGAGTGTCCCTGCTTGAGAAGGAGTCATCGTGATGCACTTTCTAGCTGGCTTCCAGGGTGTCTGCGGTCCCAGCCCTTTCCTGGTGCATGAGCTGACTGTCAGCCACTTCTCCAGCGGAGCATGTCCAGGCTGCGTTCACCACAAGGCATGCTTTTGTTTGGTCTTTCTAGCATCCTTCCTTTCCCCATTTTGGGGGCTTTAAAATTTTTATACACATGACTGGTTTTACACTAAGAATGTGAAATGTTTTTCAATTAAAAAGCTACTTTTTAGGCTGGGTGTCGTGACTGCTTATGTCAGTAATCCCAGCATGTTGGGAGGCTTGAGGCAGGAGGATTTCTTGAGGCCAGGAGCTGGAGACCAGCCTGGGAATCATAGTGAGACCTCGTCTCTACAAAAAAAACATTGGGTGTGGTGGTGTGTGCCTATAACCCCAGCTACTCTGGAGGCTGAGGTGGAAGGATTGCTTGAGCCAGGGAGGTCGAGGCTACAGTGAGCCATGATCGTGCCCCTGTACTCCATCCTGGGTGACAGAGCAAAACCCTGTCTCAAAAAAAAAAAAAAAAAAATTCACCCACTTCAAGTGTACAACTCAGCGACTTTTAGTAAATTTTCCAGGTGGTACACCTGTCACTAGACTCTAGCTTTAGAACATTTTCGTCACCCCAGTAGTGTCCCTGTGTCCATTCACGGTTAACTCCAGTTCCCACTCCAGCCCCACTCAGCTGCTAACCCGCTGTGTCTGTAGATTTGCCTTTCCTGGACACTTCATATAAATAAAATTAAATGATACTGACACTTAATTTTTTGTGTCTGTCTTTTTACTTCATCTGTTTCTGCTGATGGTGTCTGCTCAGTTGGTTTAATATCTTTCATAAGCTCCAATCTCAGTCTTTTCAACTTCTTTGGATTTAGAGTTTTGTTCTTACTTTTTTCCCCATCTCCACTTTCTTCTATTATAGCTACATCAGTTTTTCTTTATCTTCCTTTGTAGATTGTTCCAGAGTTTTTACCTTCTGCATAGATGTGTCTAGTGAGGGTCTAATCAGGAGGCAGAAACTACACAGTAATTTGAAAAGGGAAAGTTTAATATAAAGCATTATTAACTATAATGGGGGAATCATGTAATGGGAAAGTGGCTCATGAGGAGTAAAGAAGACTCTCAAGAGTGCACAAGGAAGGCCGGGCGCGGTGGCTCAGGCCTGTAATCCCAGCACTTTGGGAGGCCGAGGCGGGTGGATCACGAGGTCAAGAGATTGAGACCATCCTGGTCAACATGGTGAAACCCCGTCTCTACTAAAAATACAAAAAATTAGCTGGGCATGGTGATGCATGCCTGTAATCCCGGCTACTCAGGAGGCTGAGGCAGGAGAATTGCCTGAACCCAGGATGCGGAGGTTGCGGTGAGCCGAGATCGCGCCATTGCACTCCAGCCTGGGTAACATGAGTGAAACTCCGTCTCAAAAAAAAAAAAAAAAGAGTGCACAGGAGAAGCTGGGTGTGGTGGGTCACGCCCATAATCCCAACACTTTTGGGGGCCGAGGTGGGTGGATCACCTGAGGTCAGGAGTTTGAGACCAGCCTGGCCAGGAATAAATGTAAAGAAGTGACATAACCCCAAGGCTGTGGTCCAGACCTCCTGGCTCACTGGATGGTGGAGTTCCCTGAAGCACAGAGCTGCCCTGAGATGGTGCCAGGGGACGCTCTTCATGGGGAGGTGCCATGCCAACAGCTGTCACTGGGAAAGTGTTCTCTGGGGTGCTGAGGGAGGATGCCCATGGGAGGCACTGTCTCAGAACTCCAGGGTACTGGTGAAAGCACTTCATGGGAGTGCCAGTGGCACTCACTGTCAGACTGAAGTTCTCCCGGCAGGTGCCGAGGGGAGCCGCCCTTGTGGCACTCTGCTGCTAAGCTGCCCAAGGCGTGCTTCCCCAGGAGTCAGCCTAGAGGAGCAGCCAGAACCAGCCAGAGAAAGCCCTTCTGCCTCCTGCAAAATCCAACATCACACCAGCTGGCAAAGGAGAAACGTTTCTGTGCCCAGCTCCATTATTGCAGAGCAGGCAGAAAGAAACAAGGGCAGATTTGGAGCTGAAAGACAGGAAATTGATAGCTGGCATAGTAAAGAGAAAAGTTCATGAGCTATATATTCTGACATGCTTTAAAATTATATCCAATTTAGGCCGGGCGCGGTGGCTCAAGCCTGTAATCCCAGCACTTTGGGAGGCTGAGGCGGGTGGATCACGAGGTCAAGAGATCAAGACCATCCTGGTCCACATGGTGAAACCCCGTCCCTACTAAAAATACAAAAACATTTATATCCAATTCAAGGTAATCAGTCGCTTCTCCCTCATCTCGTTTTTAATTGAATTTTTTTCTCTTTATAAAACAAGACTGATTTTGGGTTCTCCATTTTGAAGTGGTTCCTTTGGAGTCAGCAATTACAGAAAATGTGTTGGAGTTGGCTTCCCAGATATGCTGTGTGTCGCCTTAACTTCTAGAAAGAAAGGATGGAAACCAGTATCAAACTGGCCAGGGTATTCTGAAGTTGACTCTTCCTGTGACTGACTTATTTTGTTTAAAAATTTGTATGGTTTGCTAAGGTACCAAGGTTTTAACCAGTTCTTTTCTGATTATCCAATACTAGTGTCTGGACATGCAGCGAATTCTTCTCCTTATAACTTGTCATTGTTTTTGTTGTCATTTGTTTTATATTTTTAAACTTTTTTTCAGTCAGTAGTAATAGCCTTATTCCATTAAGTTGGTGCAAAACTAATTGGCAAAAACTGTGATTGCTTTTGCACCAACCTGATATCTAATCCATCAGAAGCACTTGAAATCAGTTCTCTTGGGAAAAATATACTTGTTTTTGTCCAGAAAAATGAAAAAGTTTCAGAATTATGTTAAATTCCACTTGGATGATGAGTGTCTCAGACCTCCTTCTTAAGTGCTCTCACTTGGCACATTTAATCCATCCAGATGAATAGCTAGCTTCCCCTCTCTTCACTCCTTAATTACCTGTCTAGAACTTGGTCTACTTTTTTTTTTTTTTATTGAAACAGGGTCCTTGGTCTGCTTGTATCCAGATCTTCACAGGGTTTCCTCCACATCAACTTAGTCGTCTGCTTGAACTGCCTAGAGAGTCATGAGGCTGCAGCACAGGCCCGGGACCCACAGAGCTGTGTGGCACTCGGCCGGGGTCGGAGGCCCGGGACCCACAGGGCTGTGTGGCACTCGGCCGGGGTCGGAGGCCCGGGACCCACAGGGCTGTGTGGCACGCGG